ACGTACAGTGGTGAACCGCCAAGCATCCAGATGATGTGGATGGTATCGCGACGTTTGCCGCATAGTGCGTTCACGAAATTTGGCGGCTGGGATTAATCCGAACAATTCCTCAGAGCACTCTCCATGCTGTGATATGCGAAAGAAAATGCAAAGACATGCAACATCTCTTCGCAGTGCCAGTGAATCGAGCCGATCGGAAAACACTCGGTCGTCGACGATTCGAGCCGCTCTGCGCTGGATGCGGTCAAGTGGAAGGAGCTGGTACTGGGGAGCCCCAGCCCAGAGATGGGAACAGTATTCCATGTGCGGCCGAACCTGCGCCTTGTAAAGTTGCAGGCGGTGTGCCGGCAATAGGTGTATTAAGGATGCAACAAAATTAGGTCAACTGGGAGATGGAACGATGGAACATACTTTCACATAATACCAGCGTGATATGTTACCCTTTTTACTGCTATGCCTCGTCATTCCGACTTAGACTCTGTGCGAAGGTCTCCTCACAATGTATCCCTTACACCCACAATATTCGCGTACTATATTTAAGGGGAGAGCTTAACTACTGAGTCAATGCTCTTCAGTCTGTCATATAAGATTCATAAAATATCATCTTCATAAGTTCGTTAATATTCTTCCGCTGGAGATGATCTAATCTGTAGTATAGAAAATTTGTCACAATCGCCATCCTCAGTCATAAATATTTTCTTTAGAAATAATGAAGTAGTTTTTATTCAAGTTTTACTTTATTTTATATTTGAGCGAGAACTTTAATACAAAATAATTTCGGTCACTGGTTGTCAAGGGAGGACAATATTATAGTGCACGAATGTGTGCTCAAGCACAGGTGCACTCTATATTTTCTCACTCTCAATGTCTAATGGATTGACAATCTGTTACGATGGATGGTGTAAAACCGCCAACTTTCTGACTCCGGGGTGCAACTGAGAATATATTAACGGAAATACCTAGGTGAATATCTTAACAGAAATACCTAGCTACTCTAATTGTTTTCTGGCCGACCCCGGATTTGAATTCAGAACCACATTATTAGCAATCGAGCTTACAACTACTACATCTACGAAGCTATCAAGAATTAAATTATACGAAATATTTTTAATGACTTAGATACTCGTATGTACGTACTTTAAGCATATTATCTAATGATGTTTTCCCATAACTCCAAGCTTGTGGTAATTAAGAAATGAAAATTGCTATTTACAGTTTTATTTGTAACGATATTTATCTAGCTCTACTTATTATACTATAAAATTTCGAGGCGTACGCTTATAAGCTGCTACGATTATAATTCAATTGTTATTTATAAATACAAAATTTAACGTTACCACAAACAAGAGAATGCCATCTAAGTCCATAGATTGCTTGCTTATTATATCAAGGAAATTACTTCATTTAGATACACTTACGTTAATTTTATTCCATACACACCTGTTACGATAGCCCACATCTCTTTATGAAATTTAAATGCTACATCCGCAAAATACACTTTCTTCATAATTCAGATTGATGGCATCACGCGAAATATCGATCGTTCGATAAATTGGCGCGGAGTTATAATACGAGTATAACTTTCATTTGCAATCTATCTATCGAAAGGCGACAATTATCAAATTATACCCTATGATATCGGAATAAAATTTCTTTTCCTGAATTGAAAAAAAAAGTATTAATGTGACGTGTCTATGCATGAGTAATAAAATTAATTGTACCGTGAGAAAACGCTAACGATTATACCGGAAGTGATTATGACGCGTTACGCGAAGAGTTATGTCCGTTTTGAATGAGCATTTCGATTGTTTGTGCGTGAAATTGATTTCCTTTTGCTGAAATTTTTACAGAGATTATATAATAAATTATAATAGTCGTTGAATTTGTACAATCCTTATTATCTATCTTTTGTAACTTATTAAATAATTGTAAACTATTCTTTTTTTAATATGTTCCGCGTTGTATCCTTCTGTTTATTCTCAGGACAGAGGTATTTTCCTGACCAGTAGTAAGTTAAAAATATACTTTTAGTAAGTACGACAAGTAAGTAAGACAATAGAAGTCGCATAGACGCGTAACCTTGTCGCCGCTATCATGTGTTGACAAACATAATTCACCATTTTGTGATTTTTTTGCGCGGGGAACGTCGTGCATGAATTTATGTTATTATAAATTTATAATGGTGAACTGCAGCATAATCACGTTTTTGATGAGTTTTTACAACTGTAAAAACTCATCAAGGACGTGTAATTCAACTAATAACATTTCATCGGTAAGTTGATTATTTACTAATTATCATTGTTTTAACTAATTTACATCTAGATGAATACTTTACTATGATATTTACCTTTTTAAACTTTCATTTATTACTTTTCGTATTATACAATTACCATTGCTGCTTTTGTTTTATGTTGACAAACTCGCCAAACAATGTAATGAGAAACATTAGATATCATTGAGGATTTATAAGTACGGTACGATTTGGCGACATCTGTTTTGGAAATAATCGATCGCTAATTCAATTCTATTGTCTTATTATTACTATTTCTGTTGTACTATTTATAATCTATATTGAATAAAAAGTTTTTATTTCTACTTCTAAAACCAATATTTCTCAAGAATATTATCTATAAAACTCAAAATAGAAATTATTTTTAGGAATTTGCAGCTAAAATGTATTAACAAAGATATTAGGAATACTTTCCTGTCTAGGGGTCCGTCTGGGTTGGTTATCTATCTATTGCTGCCACCAACAGTTTTACTACTGCTGTGTTTCGTTCTGAAAGGTATATAACCAGTAAATTTATAAGCTGTGAGGCATTACATGGTAGTCCCCAGAGATGAGAACGCATCTGTAGTCATGGTGTCTACTAATATGAACTTTTGGACTGCAGAAGCAACTAGTGACGGACACACGTGATAGTTCACGTGAACTGTAAGTTTGTTGGTCATTTCAGTTTTTTTTTAAAACGTAGAATGTAACCGTTCTGTAGAACTTTACGGGAGAAAGTTTTTTAACTTAGTTGTAGAGAACCATGTTAATAAATAAATCTTAGTGGTCAGAGTTAAGCACTTGGTAACTATATCCTGAATATATCTGGGCTGAAAAGCCAACGGCTACCATGTAATGGTTCCAAACTACAGGCCGTATGAGGAAGCTTAAGATAGCCAGCAAAATTAGAGGGCTATGATCGGAGTTTCTTTGTATAACTAAATTTCCGATGAAAATATCTCGAGTAACCGACATAGTAGTATTAGCTATATCATGGGAGCGGCAGCTGCCCTCAAGCGGCTGTTACCATATGTCGATTCGATCCATGGCTTTATATGGGGCCCCTATATGGATTGGGGCTCTGACGGAAAGAACCATCGCCTTTCTGAGAAGGCCCAGAGGGCGATGGCTATCGGAGTCGTACGAGGATAACGGACGATCTCCCACGAGATGGCATACCTGATATAATCTGACCTCCATTGGCAGGTGCAAGTAAGTCGCAGTTACCGCTGCCACGTTTATCAGCACCACAACCGTCGGAACCACTAGCATTGGATCCACAGGCACCTCTACAGCTGCAGAAGGCTAAAAGACAAAAGGGTGAAGAGAAAAAAGAAGTTCGCTTTTCCATTGGTTTTTCCACAGGTAATGAATAATTCAGCACCGATTGTCAATTCGTGGGTGTAAGTTACTAAGAAGCCGAAAAAAACAAAAGCTACCCAAAAGCGTTGAAACATCACGGCGTCACCTTCCAATGGAACAGAAAAGGGTTGAAGCAATAAAAAGGTTTCGCGTGTCCCGACGTCTGCAGCAATAACAGTCACGGTGTCGGAAAGCTAGCCAAAATCTATTTGGCAAATATTTGCTTCGAAACTGTTAGCCTTAAATGCGCAATAATTAGAGGATTTACGCTGTAGATCACGAGCCCAGACTGTAACTCAAAAGTGGACAAGCTGGCAGCAAAAAATGCACGATCTCTATTGAAATTAATTCCTTCTCTATTGAAGGAGGCTGGGTACTACCACCTGCTTGGGATCCTATAATCAATAAAATTAAAACTAAACCCAAGCATACCACTGCAAGACCTCAGGATATAGTCAGTTCATTTTGCATAGATCGGACCATAAACAATAATTAAAAAAGCTGAAGGTATTCCGGGTTTAACAATGACATCGGGACGTCAGTCATCTCAGTCCCCCGTGACCATGGGTGCTAGAAAGCGCCCGAAACGTCGGGAATTAAAAATAAAAGTAATTAAAAGTAAAATAAACGCGATAATATCCGAAAAAGTAGTTTTAATCAATGTGTTGAGGAAGTCCACCAAACACCCATTAGCATGAAAATATGCTGGGTACGAGGTTCCGTCGCTGTTATCCATTAGATTGTGGCCATTGAGAGAGTACGGGTGGATTGAGGGTCTGCCCAAGTAGAGGTATGAGAACCCAAGTCTGTGCATGAAATCCAATGAAATAAATAGAGCCACACGCTGTTACGCTTGTTGTGAGCCAAGGCACAGACCCAAGCAGTGCACTGCATCGACACTCAATAGTACACTGTACTCAGATCTCGTGCGTCCTGCATGTCACAGACTGGGTAAAAAGTGAGTTCCACCACCTGAAAATAACGAATAAGGAAGAACGAGCAGACTTCGTCTGCATCCACTTCCAAAACAGTCCCTGCACCGAGTTCTACCTCGGCTATGGAGGTGGTTGAAGGTTTGAAGATGTGGAAGTTGTGGAGAGAGCGTCCCATTGTGTGCCTTATTGAGAAGGGAGTAGGGCTTTGTTGCAATGCAACCTGGTTATATTGAGCTCCTATGTCTCTCCGAATAGGTGCCTTGCCGACTACGGGGCGTATCTGGACGAGGTGGCTATTGATCGTCCTGGGTGATTTTAACTTCGGAGACGATCCGAAGGGATGGATTGAGCAACTGGTCTGGACCTCCGATTAATAAATCAGGGTCCATAAGCGCATGTGTGCAATGTCAGGAGGAGTCCATTGTATCATCTTAAATCGGCAACTCCTGCTGCAATGCAAATGCTGTCGGGAGGTGGTTCCTTAATTTGACCACCGTCACATCGTGTTTGATATCGCAATTCGTCTGCTCGATAGTACCCCCAGTCGTCGAGAGAGCAGCCCACTGCGGTGCTGATGTCTCATTTGGTTTATTCGTGACAAACTCGAAGCCGCCGCCATCGTCGTGACATGGCCAGAAAATGCCTAGGAGGTTCATTTTAATCCAGAAAGGGAAGCAAACAGGTTTTAATGGGCACAATGACTCAGACATTTGACGTGACGATGCTCAGAACCAGCTGCCTCAAACGCAGGGCGGTGTATTTGTGGTTGACTGAAATCGCACGGCTCCGAGCAACTTGCTTAAAGAGTCGGTGTCAACACACTAGTACTACAATACATCATTTAACTCAAAATCTATTCGGTCGATCACCATGAAAATTAGTATATTAAATGGTGAAGGGTCATATTAGTAAACTTAAAAAAATGGAAAAAAAATTAAGAAACAAACAAAATTTAAATATGTTTATTTCAATTATTTTTTTAATCAAGCGCGGCAATTAATAAACTAAATTATATTCGCTAGGGCGAGGAAGTATCCGCCGCGCTGCCCCAATGCGTGTTGGCGAACTTCACATTGTCTTCGAAATATTTTTTTTCTCCTTCCTCAGACATGCAGCTTTCCTCACGATGTTTTTCCTTCACCGCCGAGCACGTGGTAAATCAGCACTTAAAATTGCAATTAATAATTTCATTGGTGCCTGTGGGGATAAAAACCCGGTTTGCTCGCGTACTATGAAATTTACAGCGAGCGCTAACCATCTGAGCTACCACGGCTCGCATACGGCGGCAGCGCGGCGGATACTTCCTCGCCCTAAAACCCTCTCAGAAATGAGGGGAGGCCTGTGCCCAGCAGTGGGACGTATATAGGCTGTAACTTTACTTTATATTCGCTAAACTAAAAAAAACGGTGCTGAACACAACTTATGATATTAGCTGGCAGGACAGCGTCTGCCGGGTTCATCTAATTACTTATAATTTAGTATTATCAACGATGCGTAAATTTGAACGTATTTTATGTTCCAAGCAATGCAATGGTTGGTAAAATTAAAATGTTTCCGGGGGCCACACGAACTAAACCTCTATTTCCTACGTTACTATTTCCTACGTTAACGTAACTTATGTAGACGATTTTCCCTCACGTGCAACATCGACATGTTGTAAGTTGAATACATATGATCTAATTATTCGGTATATTGTACTATTCGACATTGCAATACGAAATAGCCCATTAAAGGCCGTATACCGAAGAAAGTGAAGTATAAGTATATTAGATGGCTCAGTAGAAGTAGATCTGCCCTTTCCGGTAGGTTGCGCGGTGAGTTTCACTCCGGACTTTTTACGGTGTAATTACAAATTTTATAATAACTCGACTGCAGCGCCACCTATCGAGTCAACAACCTGTGAGTTTTTGGCGTTTAGTGCCACAACATAATACTCTGAACACGCGTAATGAGTATAGTGAATCCGGCATCTATCCCTTTATCCGAATACAATCTGAGCAAATCTTAAAATACTACAATCTAGAGTTAATATGCTTTTGTTACGTTAAGACAGTGCGACTTACCATCTAGGTCTTCATCATAACTTACCTCCAGGTGGGATTATAGTAAAGCATTGGCTTATATTACATTAAAAAAATGTGCCATTTTGGTCCAAAAATATAGAATTTGTTAATAACTTGGCTACTGCGCCACCTATTAAATCTTAGCTGTGACCCAATGTCTCGACAAAAAATATGACATTATTATGTGAATATGACTAGAATCAGTCAAATCGTTCAAAAGTTGCACGTTGACTAAAAAACGCATCGACGATTTTATAATCTATCTATATAAAAAAATTCATTTAAACATTATTGTTAACGTATAGTTACAATATATCTTTAATAATAAAACTTAAACTTGCTTAAACATTAAAGTTTTAATGAAAATTAAATAATAAGAATTAAAGTTCCGGCTTTTAACCAAACCGAACATTATTTTTTTATCTCTTTAAGTGGACTATGGAAGAAAACGTTAAACTCTAATTTGCCACCCTAAGGGATAGAAGTCTTTTCCAAATTTATATGAGACCGTGTAATAAAAGATAACTTAATCAGTTCACAATTGTCTAAGATAAGAGAAGTAACATTCATACAAAATAGAACTCGAATTGAAAGTTCCTCCATTTTTAGAATTTAGCTAATATAGTTTATTTTCAGTATTATTACCATTATTATGTTATTTTTTTATAAGATAGGATGACAAACGAGCACACAATCCACTTGATGGTAAGTGGTTGCTGTGGCCCATAGACATCTACATCTATCCTCGGTTACAAATCAAAATGCAAATGCGTTGTCATCCGTGAGGACTTAGATGGAATGCTTCGTTTCCAGTAAAAAGGGTCTCCTAAAATTTATGTTACAGAAGTGAGTGGAAGCGGTTCTCTACACTCACCATACGAAACACAGCAGCATTAAGCTACTATTTCACGCTGGTATTCTGTGAGAGCGTGGTCCTTCCCCGGTCGAGCCGACCCATTCGTGCTACAACTATACTACTAATATAACTGCAGCGTGGCTCTACCACGTACAGACGTACCACGTAAGTTATAATATAATATTGGATTTTCACGATAAATAAAAACTTTAATATATGACCGCCCATTAAAACAACTTAAGTTATGGAATAAAAGTATCTTTACGGATTCTATCGCGTTTAAACTTTTTTAATTTCCGACTTTTTGGATACTTTACAGCACCCAACCCAAGGTTAGATATCATTAATATAATGTAAATATGATTAATTTAATATAAATAATGGTAAGAAATCATTAACTTAAGTTGTAATACGGCGTAAAATATGAGTAAAAGTCCTATAAAGCAAATATATGACTTCGCAATCGGTATTATAGATTTACGACCATTCAAAACTATCTAACCGGAATTAAATAGCACCAATTTAATCGCGGATGCCATTGATCTCAATTCGCAACGTGCCTCTCCTCTTTACGTAGGCATAATTTCAGTTACTACCAATGTGAGGTAACTTTCACCTGATTTGACGAGTGTCATAACAGATGCCGACGACATATTTTGCATATCGTATATTATGAATGAACATTTGTAATTGCATAATTGTTAATTAATGCTGATATGGTGAAACTATTGGTGAAACAACGTACCTATGGTTTTAATATTTATTAGTAATTATATTACATAACATTGAAATCTATACAATATTGTATTACTACATATTTGTTACATTTGCTGTAGAGACTATCTGTCCGTAGGATCCACGTACAGTGAAGTTACTAAGGAAGTTGTATCTGCCACTAGACATCGCTTCTGGTGATAAGAGGGCTGGTTATTTTCTCTTTAAGGATAAATATGTATAAAAATTATGTTATGTGATTTGCAGGATGATGCAGTGGCCAGGATTAAGAAAGGAATGCTTCGGTGGTTTGGTCATATGGAAAGAATGAATGAGGAAAGAGGGACAAAGCAAATTTATGTTACAGAAGTGAGTGGAAGAGTCGGAAAGGGACATCCTAGGCGAAAGTTTATTGACCAAATGGGTGATATATTAAAAATGGGACAAATTAGAAGTACCTTTAACTGACAATGTATGCGTAGGTGTATGGACTCGCCAACCCATTCGTGCTACAACTATACTACTAATATAACTGCGCATGGCTCTACCACGTGAAAACGTTTGTATATATAAATGTGTATAATATGTGATTGTATTCTCGGAAACGACTCTAACAACTTGGATGACATTTTGTATTTAGGTACATAATGTTTTACTTTCCAAGTTTATGTACATAGCTAAAGTCATCTCTGAGTAAAATTGTTTATTTTTCTAACGGTAAGTAAAGCTCGGTCACGCAGGTGCAACAATATTGATAATCAATATATAAATTTCATTCTCGTTACCAATGAAAAGGATCTTTGTTACTCAAAAATAACCGTACGAAACACAGCGGCATTACAACTCATGCCAATTAACTAGTCACTTCGTTGGAATGTGCCCTCTCTTGTATTTCGTACTGTACCAGTAACATCAAATCACCAGGTGCCTAGTTAACTCGCTAGGATTGTAAGTTCCCATTATTATCATGATGGGCTTTTGTTTGAACGCAGTTCTTCTCTGACTCTGCCGTCGTAATAAGCTGTTGAAAAAAATAATAAGATTAATTTAAGAGATGATTTGAGGTTTTAAGTGGTTGGAGTAGGACTTTTTTAAGTAAATTCCACGCTTGTCTATTTTAAAGAGAAAAAAATTAATCTATTTAATTATACATATTATATTATAACTATATTCTATTATTACAACTGAATATGTACTTTTTTAATGAAGTAATGTAATATTACTAAAACTTATATGTACATATTTATTAAAGTCTCAGCAAAAAATAAAAACAATATCCTAATCAAAATGGTCACCTTTGTCTTATATACAGACCTTTAATCTCTCTGACTACGAATCTATAGATTTACGTTCTGTTTCCATGGGAAATATCGCCACTGCTTGCTCCCGAGATTTTTTAAGAGACTCAATGTCACTGTGTCGTTTAGAGCAAGCCATGTCTTCTAAAAAAGACCATAATTTGTAGTCTAAAGGGTTGAGGTCGGGGTTAGACGACGGCTACTCTTCAGCTCTTATAAAGTCTGGAACGTTGGTTTTAAGCCAGGCTTGGGTAGTTCGTGCCTTGTGACCAGGTGCAGAGTCCTGCTGGAAAGTCCGCTGTACATTTTTAAAAAGTGTATTGCTGAAACCGAATTCAACTGCCGAATTCAAAATAATTAAAAAGTTGAAAAAAAAAGAAAAGTTTTTATGGCCAGACTAGTTAATATCTTTAAAGGAATTCCATATCAGCCTTCAGAGGTAACATAGCAATTACTATGCTTGCAATCTGTTGCAGGTCTGCCAAATTCAAAATAATTAAAAAGTTGAAAAAAGAAAAGTTTTTATGTAACAGTATTTATGGCCAGACTATAGTCAACCAAATGTAAGAAATACATTTTGACAGCTGTCAGACTTATTGCACCAGGCATGCCAACCAAAAAATGGGAACGTACAAAGTTCGATTCTTAAAAAAATCGATATCGATTATTTAGAGTTTGTTTTTAATAATACCAGAATTAAAGCATTTACTGTTTGGTTTTAATAA